AATGCGGTTGCCGCAGGCGTTTTGTTTTTGTCGTTTGTTACGAGACATGCCCGACAATATTTTGCAACTGAATTACTTATAATAAGAAAGGAAACGTTCGCCGCGAGCTGCGAATGCAACTCTGATTCAAATAATGCAATTGCATTGATTTTCAATGACAGTCACGACAATCTGTTGTTGAGTAAGAAATGCATAACATGCATAAATAAATTAAAATTTTTATTATTAAATTTTCTTTTACAAATTTCTTTTATAAACTTTATAATAAAATTTTCCTTTCTAAATTTATATGAAGAAAGTTATAATTAAAAATTCATCAAATTAGTAGAAATAAAGACATGTTTAATTTTGCATTCATTCAGTCGTGCAACACTGATTTCTTTTCTCGTCAATAATTCCTGGTTCAAGTCCGTACCAGTGAAATCGAGCTCAGAGTCTCGTGTACAATCGCGTGCATTAATGTGTCCGGTGCGTTTGGAAAAATATCTCGCGACACGCGAGTCACGGATTCTTTACGAGCACGAAGCAATTATAATCACGTGAACGAAAAGATTTATCTCTTGAGTTTTAAAAAGAACCTTGACCTCCCTCTCCGAATACAGGGGGACAGCTGACCCCTCGTTGCAATTATTACATCAGGAATAAAGTAGAGCAATTTTTTGATTAATTTGCAAACAAATAAAATTTTCAAAACGTTTCATCAAATTTTTTCCATCGAATACGAGTCCTATACAGGACACTAATTTATATCGCTAAAAGCACAAAAATAAAAAAGTAATATTTCGTTGCCGATATCACATCTGACATGTTTGCAATAATGGGCCAAAATCACCTTGATACACGCGAGGGAAACCGCGCGACGCTAACAGCTGGTCTCGCCGCTCCAGAAGATTTACAATCCTATACTCGCGGAGGCTAGGCTAGGCTCGCAACGAGGTAAAATCGAGCTGCCAGCGCGGCGGCCGCGGTCAGGAACGGATCGGCAGCCCACGAAAGTGGAACGATAAATCTATGCCCGGATAACTGGACGTTTAGCTCCCACATTCCTCGAGTCTTTAACAACCGCGAATTTTCCGCGATATTTATCGCGCAAGGCGCAGCAGAGAAGCTTCGTAGAGACGCTTTCTGCCTCAAGTTAGGAGGCGAAATTCAAATTAAAAAAATTCTGTCAGAACAGCGTGAACTATCATTAGATTAAATTGACTTTCTAGTATCATGAATTTTATTAAGTTGTATATATATATTTTTTTCCCTCAGAAAAGTTTATTAAAATTAAAGAATTTAATTTAATTTATTAAAATGAAATTTATCGAAAATAATGTTAATAATTCTATTCCTCGCAGTGCTTTATTTTTCATATTTTTCTATTAATAGCAACATTTTTTATATTCTAAAAGTCTTGATGATTAAAAACTATAAAAAAAATTTGCAATTTTTTTACAAAATAAATTTATAATAAACATACAAGAGATATTTCAATTTAAACGTTTATAAAAAAATTAAAAAAAATAAATTTATAATAAACATGCAAGAGATATTTCAATTTAAATGTTTATAAAAATGCATCTTTTTTCCTATACATATATTATATAAATAAATATCATTAATATATATCCGAAAGTATTCCTAAATTTTCCATCACTTAATCTGATCACATCGCACTCTTGATTGCGAATTTAATTAGCGTCTGCTCGTGCGTGGGTTTAATTCACGAAAAGTGAAAAGAGGAGGAGAGGCGTAGCCTCTGGAGAGAAGCTAAGAAGGCGATGGCACACATATTTTGCATCGGAGAAAGTCGTACGCGCTTACTTCCCCTCCCATGCTTTTTTTTTTCTTTCTTCACCTTCTCGTCGCTGTCCTCGTAATCAACCATTATGCATACTTATGCAAATACGTATAATCATTACGTGCATTAACATCTTGCATAACGCACCGCGGTTTAATTAAATACACGGATCTATCGTTCGAAGTCGTGTGAAATCCAAAGATTGTTCCGTTCAATACATTTCTCCACTTGTTTTTTTGTAAGGAGAAAATATCTTAAAATATATGTAAATTTATTATAATTTATATATATTTTATATAATTTATATAATTATCATATATAAATATATATTTTAAATATAAATATTTTAAATATATGTAATACATAATTATGTAATTATCATGTTAATTTATGCACATAATTATATCATTATAATTTCCTTATAAATATTGATATGTCTGTTAACGTAACAATTATTACAATTAAAATAAATTATTTAAATTTTTTTTGTCACATCTTGATTAAATCGATTATTATTAATATATGATTATTATAGATAGTATTTTTAAGTTTTTAAGTCATTCTATTTCGCAAAATTGTGTAACAATATTCTTACATATCTACTGGCCGACAAACAGCTGGCATTTTCTTGAATACTATGATGGCAACGAATCGATCGCAATTTGTAATCCCGTTTATGCGCCAAATTGTATATTTATTACATGAAACAGAAGTGAAGAGTTGTAGAATGCATAAAATGTTTAGAATCGCATACTGAATACACTATTTTTAATGTTTGAAAATATTTTACGCTTGGAAGCACTATTAGTGTATAACGTAAAACTTCCTATCTAAACTATCTTTCGATTATACTTGTACATAGATTTGAAATTTTAAGTTACCGACATGATGCATAATACATGATACTTTTTTCATAATTTTAAAAACATTATGTATTAAATTTTCAATAAAAAAAGCGGATTCAGTATTGAAGAAGATGAAATAATTCAAATCAAGTGAAAAACAATATATAATACGAATTATAATTTAGAAATATATGATCTTCGTCAATACATTCTATTATACATAAGATATGTTAATTATACATAAAATAATCTTTCCCGTAGATTTATACATAAGCCTTACATAGAAGTATAATTAGATCAGTGTCTTATAACTGCATATGTGTGAACACATCATATATATATGTATATGTATATATTGCTTCGTCCATAATAATTTTCTCATCTAATTATGAAAATTATATATTTTCTTGGATTAATTTAATATAAGCGCAATACTCCATAATATTTATAATAATAAGATTAGATTCTATCCGTTATTTAAATAGAAATATTATGGATTCTATGCGGGTCAGATAAACGGTATTGCCTTTCACGAATATTCTGTTCACGGTGTTTTTACTAAGGAAAAAAATATAAACGAATTACCGCTTGCAACGGTATTGACGAAATAATCTCTTTTTATCGATACTACCACAAAAATAATGAGACAATATATATTTGTAAAAAAAGTACCGTTTTTCAAAATTAATCTTGCAACTCATCATAATTATTTCAATATTAATTGTGTTTTATTGATGCTTGTTTAATTGCTTTTATTATGATTAAATCCAATGATCGAGGTATCATGTAAACTGCAACATTTAATATAAGATGTATCCGCGTAAAATCTTTAACAGACAGAACTCTTCTAAGAATTTCTCGAATATATGCGTGGAATGCATTCGGCAATTCCGGTCGCGGATATTTTCCTCGAAGGTAAAAAGATCCATAAAGTCGAAAAAAAATTTGCATAAATACCGTCCGCAAGAGACTCGAATAAATATTTTTGGATGCTCTCGCTTTGCGGAATAAAAAAATATATTATTTTACGAATGTAATAATAATAAATCAACAGAAATATAATTGTCTTGCTTGTTTATCGTATATGTATTGCACGTATCTTTTTCTTCGTCAAGATATGAACGAGCGGGAAAGAGAGTAGATGATTGTAAATGCCTTCAAGTCAACATATGCGTATATATCAGTGCCATCGGTATGAAAAGTAGTAAGCTAGACGACGTAGATGATGCGACGGCCTCCTTGTCCTGGAAGTACCGTTGCGATGAGCGATGGTGATGCTGTACACTCTGTACCACTTCGTTCGAACGCATAAATGTAGATCTGGCAAGGCCCTATATTGAACGTCGTGTACTCAGTGGATGAAGAAATAATTATATATCTCGTTTTGGGACGTAAAAAAAGAAGACTGTTGCCGCAAAGCAATATACTAGTTGAAATGAAAGCAGGATGTATTAAGAGGAGCACCTTGCAATAAAATATTCTTTTTGGTGTAAAATAAATTTTAAAGAGAAGAATGGAATGCGTGTAAATATCTCTTTTACTGAGTGATGAAGGAGGTCAGCGAGGTATTTACACAGGAGGTATTTACACAGTTGCCCAAGTGTATCTAAATCTAAAAATTTTTAAATTATTTGAAATTTAAAATTAAATTAATTTTATTTTATTATAATTTAATTTTTTAATTTAATTAATGTAATTTAATTTAACTCGAAGTCGATTTGTTTCTTAGCAAAAATAGCGAGAAAGATTTATAGCAAACTCTCAATTTTTCTTTAGCTTTCCATTGGAATGAAATTATAACTAGAGAATGTAAATTTATTAAATTTATTTATATTAAATTAATTTCACATTTGCGCATCTTCTTTATGTTTGTGCATTATTATGATCATCACGCGCAGTTTTCTCTATCGTTATTAGATCGTATCAGAAACAAGTGTAATGGTGAAGTGAAAAGAAATAGCCTGGATTCAACGGTAATTGTCGTGATTGACATTCATTTAAAATCCATTCGCTTCCCAAGATCTATTGTTTCATTTTTACAGTATCTTCCCTGAGCACTTATTTCATTTAAGATCTTTTGACACAGAAACATTTTTTAATTGCTGCAATACCAGAATAACAAATACATACAAACGAGAAAATATTCCACAATTCAGGAATTTGATTTTAACAACAGATTCTCTGACGAGTTTGACAGAAGATTCTTTTAATATGGAAGAATTTTCAATTAAAGTTCTGTTTAAAACGGTATAAATTGTTATTACTCGTGACGAATAAGGGAGAAATTACTTATCGGCACGTTGCCGAGATATTATTGAATGCTTTCACGTACAAAGATCACGCAATGACCACTTTCCAATTCTTTACAGACATGCGTTGGTTTCGTGGCCACGCCGAGGCACCGAGACTCTTACGTCTAAGTCCCCTTCGAGCCGATGAAGAAGTCAACGAAGTATCCTATCATTTTCGCGCGAGGTCTCGATGCAGAGGTAAGCGTTATTTCAAATGAAGCGGATCTATATAATCTTTGTAGGGAAAAGAAAATACCATTAATGTAAAGTATATAAATAATATACATATACAGGGTATTTTTTAAACAAGTGCGAAAAATTTTAGGAGATGATTCTTTGTCGAAAATTAAGGGGGGTTTTTCATATAAACATATACTCCTGCATTCCTTCTTGTGGAGTTATACTCCTCCGAAAATGGAGGTAAAAATTATGTTTTCATTTTTTTCTTAAATTTAGAACAAGTTAAAGAAATGAAATTAGGGGGATATTTTCTACTAAAAGGATTCTTCTAGTAAAATGGTTATTTATTAATATTTCTTTCAGCCTCCCGTTATAGGAGATGAAACTAGCAATCTCTATTCAATTTTTTATTAGAACTTTTTAATGGGCCGGAATATGATCATCTAAAAATATGCATTAAAAAGTTTGATTTATTTAGAAACTTTTTTATTTCTTTTATTTGTTTCATAAAATCAATAGTTTTCAAGAAAAAAAAATAAAATACGTTATCATGCACAGCACGATGTTAAATAGCATAGGTTTCGAATTACGAGAAGTTAAATTTTAAAATAAAAATCAAATTAGAGTAAATATTGGAAAAATTGGAACAAAAACAAAATTGTAATAAAAACCTAAAAACCTAATTTTTACCCTCATTTTTGGAGAAGTGTAACTCCACAAGGAGGGATGTAGGAGTATATGTTTATATGAAAAATCCCCCTTAATTTTCGACAAAGAATCATCTCCTAAAATTTTTCGCACTTATTAAGAAACACTCTATATATAAAGAGAGAGAGAGAGAGAGAGAGAGAGAGAGATAACAATCTTTTGTTGTTGTTCTCATTATCAGACTAATTTTTGCGAAAATCATATCATCTTGTGTGTCACGCATATGCGTTGCGTGTCGTTCCATCACGTATAGCGTACATAACAATGTTTGAGAAAAAGAGGAAGAGGGATGCGAGATTCCATTCTGAATGCAAGGATTACGATTCAACGTTCCGTCGAGTCCCGAGTGACTGGTTGAAAAGCGAGAATAGGAGCAAATTGACACCGCCGGCCTACGCGAATGCACGTTAATATAAAGGATCATTGTCGAGGACGCAATTTGTAGCTTTATGCGTGATTGTATAAGCGTTTCCCATAAGACTGTAATGCAATTGACGGCGACGGCAGTGACAATATGAATCGGTTTGCTTCTAATTATACATACTAACTACTAATTGTCGAGATACATAGAATTAGTAATCGAGATAAAACATATACTTCACATTTAACCGCAAAACTGTAAGGAATTTCGTATCAATTTGCTTCTACTTTTATATGAGCTAACATGACCGCAGTTCGACGTCAGACATGATTTAAAGGACGACAAAGCATTACTCAAGCGTCCGATCTACTTTTCATTGTATCCGGTTTATATATTCTAGAAGATAATATGAAGTATGATTTATTCTTTTCCCCTCTCACATATTCATCAACCGTTTTTGCATTTTTCAGTTTCTGAAATTGCAAGTAAAAATCAATTTATTATTTTTTTTTTATCAATTTATGTTATATTTATTCTATTTTTAAGTGTTTATTCTTATTTATTAAGAATAAACAAGGATAATTTAATGCATTATAATATGCGCGATGATGAACTAATGTAATGAGCAAATCCCGTCTATTTATCTTAAAGATTGAAGATGGTACATCTAGTCGTGATTACTAACTGGCATTATCTCGATTGTTGTCGAGACCTCGTTCCGTAAAGTTACAAGTCGTAATACTAGGGGAATCGGTAATCAGTATTGCTTTCGACGCATTTTGTAATGACATGCCAAGCCCGTGTTCTTACATACTTTCCATCGTTTAGTATTACGAATCTTACGAATTTTTTTAAACAGGGTCGACTTCGATTTCCTCATAATGCAAAAGATTGCGATCAGCATTTTCGCTTCCCCGATATGATCGTTAATTTAATGCAACATGTGTTTGTTTATTTAAAAAAAAAATACCTTCCCAATTTTTTAAAATATTTTTTAAAACTTTTTGTAGTCGGAAAAAGAGTATGATAATTATCGTGATTAATAAAACTTATCCCCAAAATTGTACAACTTATTGATTTTTGATTTTTGTATTTATATAACTAATATGATGAAATCTTTTGCATTGCAATTTAAGACATATAAAAATAATATTATATTCTTATTTGCTATGTCTATTTATTATCTAAAAGATGCCATGTTATTATTATAATTAACGTTTTTATGATTATCTGAATAATATTCTAAATTAAGTAAATTGCTCATGAGAACATCCTGTTTTACGTATATCCTATGTAAGACCTCATTAGGATCAATATGACGTCATATCTCACGGAACCCGCACTTTTGTCGGTATCGTCACGAATGGCACTGAAAGTGGAGATCACTTTCGATTCGGATGTCGTACAGTTCGGATTTCACTTTGAGACAGACCTGCGAAATGAGAATTTACGATCTACTATCCTACGTTATTCATCCAAAATCTCGTACAGTGTTTTATTTTATAGAATATAAAAATAATTGAAAAATATATACAGTGTTATAAAAAATAATTTTGTGAAAGAATAATATAATAAAATAAAATGTATGATTAATTAATTATTTCAAATCAATTTAAACCAATTATTTCATCATAAAAAATAAATAAAAATAAATAATAATATAGAAATATTTTTTAACTACATAATTTAATTTATATCGTTCGAATGATCAATTTATTGATATCTTCTTACTTTATCTCATGTTGCAGACATGTCGCCGGTGCGATGGGCTCGAAGAAAATCCTCGAGTTCCGAGTCCGAGAGGAACTGTTACAATGTGCAGACCTCCCAAGTGACAACCGAACGGACGTCCAATAAAAAGGGCAAGAAGAGAATACAGGAAGAACGGCGGAGAGTGTGCGAGAAGCGAAATCCCCTGTTGGATCGCGTGAAGAGTACCAGACTGAGCTTCTTCAAAGATCGCGATTCCGATGAGGACGAGAACGATGGCGAGGACGACGAGGAAGCGAGACGAGTTCAGTTCCGTTCCATGTGTGAGCTGAGGCATCGCGATCTTACGAGGAACGAGTTGCGGCGATCGGTCTGCGAGTCCGACCTGAAGGATATTACGGAGGAGGAGAAGAGCCATGCGAAGAGGAGGAGACGCGCCAAGTCGCAGAGCAGGTTACCGTACAAGAAGCAACAGGAGGAGCGGTTCTCCTTTCTGGGCTTTCGTACCTCGACGCCTCGTAAGCAATCCGAGTGGCCGAGAGAAACGGATTCGATCCGGGAAGATGCAATGCCACACGATTACCGATGGGGGAGAACCAATCAGGATTTCCTCGACGCGAACCGTAGAGCCGATCGAGGCTGTGACCGTACGATGGTGGTCGATACCAGGGAAGAAATACCTAGACATGCCAATGAAACCAACTTCAAGAAAGACGCCACGATAACGGCGTTCGACAGCATTACACCGTCCAGCTGCCTGGCGGCGAAATTTCGCGCGATGCAGGATAAATATTTGAAGAGCTCGACAAACAAGTTGATCGCCAAGATTTATAAAAAGGACTGCAAGGACAAAGAAAGACGAAGATTACGTAGCTTCTCTTACGGTACGTTACCAGGTCTCGAAGAGCTGCGGACGAATCCGCTTTATGAGGATCAGGATCAGGACGATAATGACTCCGGAATTCTGGACAACGATTCCGCTACCAGTTCCCTTCTGGATGACAGATGTAGCAGCGGTGCTTCCGGGCCGCTAAATAACAGCAGTCATAACGATTCTTGTCTGGGATCGCCGCCTCGACTCCCACCCAGAAGACCCTTCTCGTCTGCCGTAGACGTCGATAGGACCGCGCGATTGTTCGCCAGTTTGGATACGTACGACAGGACTAAGGATACCTCCCGGACGAATCTTGTTGAGGAGTATTCGAATGTTTGCCAAGCTACGAACGACTCATTGATAGATCAAGCGGCTCGAATCTCCGCAGAAAATAGCACGGATCGGGAGAGAGAAGAGAGAAATGAGGATTCTAAACAGAAAAAGCGCACTTCCGGCTTGCAGGTTGTAAGGAGCAAACCTTACACCACGGAAACGATGGTCGTGAAACTCCTCAAGGAGACGTCCGATCAATGCCTGGGCATTTTTATCGCGAAAACCTCGGAATCCAGTCCGGGTTATCTGGTAGCTCACGTGGTGCCAAACGGACTGGCCGATAAAGAGGGCACTCTGAGGATCGGCGATGAAATTTTGATTGTCAATGGAAAGAGACTGCGTGGTTTGAGTATGGCGGAGGCGAGAAAGATCCTGGGTAATGGCAGCGGCCCTGGCGACGTCGATATTGTCATCTCGAGATACTCGGACGTTGATCAGCTAGCGAAGAAGCTGAAAGAAAGTAGCGTAGATTATGAAAACGTCAGCATGGAAGATGGCCACGGGGTGATCGTCGAGAGCTCACCTAGCTCGCACTTTAGAAAGCATCAAACTAGATGTCATCGAGACAGGAAGGACGAATCAAACAGATCAATTTCATCTGATAAATTTGCGACAAATATAGATAACACGTTCGCGCAAAATATATCCAAGTTCTGCACCCTCCCGAGAAGGCCGAGAAATACTGTGTCAACGTTCCTTACGGTGCTTTTCGAGAAAGGGGCCGGGAAAAAGTCTTTGGGATTTACTATAGTTGGCGGAAGAGATAGTCCAAAAGGAAGCATCGGTATATATTTTCTCAATTTCTTAAACATCAACTATTTTCTATTATTTGCATGCAACATAATAAATATCTTAATTTTGTCGCACATGCCTAGATGCATATATTTCGTATTATCTATATATTTTTCCTTGCGATTTATATCCTTCAATTTGTGCAGGTATCTTCATAAAGTCAGTGCTACCTGGTGGTCAAGCCGCCGAAGATGGCCGTTTGCGCGCAGGTGACGAAATTTTGGCTGTGAATGGCCAGGTCTGTCACGACTTGACACATCGCGAAGCCGTACAACTCTTTCGCAATATTAAAAGTGGGCCAGTTGCTTTGCACCTATGTAGACGCGTGAAAAATCGTGAATCGCAGTAAGTTCTTCGATATTTAACATTTAATTAAGTAAACGAATGTATTACCATATTTAATAATTTAATTAATTTAAATTGTATATTGATGGATTTTAAAAGCGTGTCAGTTTTCAAGCAACAATCTATTGATCTACATAAAATGACATTTGCATAAAAGAAAAATGAAGACGGAAAGAAATCTGTTTCCATGTCGCTTCTAACATTTTTTATTTTTGTTTTAGAATGCCGAAAGCCAAATCATGTGCAGATCTTTTGCTAATAGACACGTAGGAGAGTAATGATACGATGTTTTATCATAAACTCGATTGACATCGTTAAAAAAAGCAGGCAGCATTTTAAAAGTAAAATGTAAAATACATATCGTGTATATATTGTACATTTTCGGAATTCGCTAGAAATAAAACAATTATTTAATTAAGAATAATCTGGATACAGTACCTTTTCGATGGTACTACACAAGTATTGTATATCCTCTCTTTATTGTCCTCTACGATTTAAAAGATGTGTATAATGGATTCTGTGTGTATTACGATATAACATTATTTATATAAAATCTTATTTTAAGAATGTGGTATAATATATAATTATAACAATACTACGCAGTATTATATAATAATAATAATACTATTATTATAATGATAAGACTTATTAATCTATTAGGCAGTCGCGCGGAATAAATTATATGAAAGAGAGAAAACGCCATATAAGTCATAGATTTCTTTTGATAGACTAGAATCCTAAATCGCCGTTTTTCTCCTGAACGATATAATAGATTTTAAATCTAAAATCTAAAGAGCACTTCCGGTGGGCAGCTTCTTTTTTTATCGATCCACAATCTTAATACGGCGCACTTTTCAGTGTATTCCTAGGATATCTGCAATGATTATAATTGTTTTTCGTTAATCATCTTGTTCCTTACATTTTTATTACGTGATATAATCTTGTCGCACTTGTTTTTATAGATGTATAAATTATCGCCTTTACCTGTGTCTTCTTGTAATCTCTAGTTCGACTGTACCCTCTCTCACCGTCTTAAATAATTCGATGACTTCCTGATGCGTGCGTCCTTTCAAAATTTGCCCATTTAAACTCAAGATCTCATCGCCTGAAAATCAAAGAAATTTGTCTAATAAAATCATAGTTATGATTTAATAATAAATATCGAGAAATTGATGAAGAATATATATGCGAGACTTCCCAGGAAGACCTGATGGTGCAACTAATAATCTGAATGATTAAAAAGCGATTCACGAGGCTGTCAATGACCTCGTGATGTTCTTGCAAGAGGATGCCGTTTGCACTCCTGCACTTACGCAAGCCGATCGGCTAGCAGCCCGTTACTCAAGTATGTGGTAAGGAGCGGCGGTCAACGAGGAAACCGCGATGCAAGCGTAAAAAGTGTCGGGCTTGGTTGAAATTCGAGACATGGGAACGCATCCAACGACCTTCCCAGAAGTGTTATCGGCCTTCCACAGATGATATCTGATTATCCGCGAGTTGATTGAGAATAATTGACAGTTTCCTTTATCGATATCTGATTATGATTTGTAACAAAAGTTTAGAAGGCTGTATAGAGTGTTGGAATAATATGGTATCAGGAAACAGCATAGGCGCTGCCAATAATCGTCTTCCGATAAAAGAGAGAGAGAGAGACGAAAGAGAAAGAAAGATAAAAAAAAGACGAGGAGAAAAACGGTAGAATACCACGACTGTTTAGATATGCAAGCAACGTTGGCTGTCGGATTAAAGATTCGACAGCTGTCTGGCGCGATCCTCGCATCGTCGTGAATACGAGAACCGTCGAACGTGCGTTCGACGCGCATTCCCTTTTCCCGCGACCGATAGCTTCCGAACGAAAAGTATTCGATACGAGGAGCGCGCCAGACTCTGCATTCCTTGAATTTCCAAGACATTAAGATCTCGTAATAAATAAGCTACACAATAAATGGACATTCGTCTAACATTTTTACTCAAGATTCTAATACTGAGCAGCAAAGAAACAAGAATGTATATGTTATATTAATTGAACTATATGTTATATTAATTAAACTATATGTTATATTAACTGAAAGATAAAGCGGCATGGAATAGATCGAAGTTTACCTTGAAACAACGATTTAGAAGTATCGGCCTGACCGCCAGGAAAGACCCTTCTCACGAAAATTCCCATGTCGCCACGTGGACTATCTCTGCCGCCTACGACACTAAAGCCCAGACTGGGTTTACCGTAGCCCTTCTCGAACCTGGCCACGTGTTTTGTCAGATATTGTTGCGATTCCGTCACGGGATCCGTGCCGTTATTCTTGATGTCTTTTTGATTTTTAGATGAATGCGCGGAAAGCGGTAGAAAATCGGGCCTCTTCCTCGATTGAAGCGACTCCGCGCTGACGTCGGTTGCCTTCTTTTTCTTCTTCTTCGTCGTCTCTGTCATTAATGAGGAAGCGTGATTTGTTTCGGCGTCGATCAACGACATGTCGGAGAGATTCCTCGCGTTTTCCAGGTACTCATATTCTCCGGGTATAGTACTCGACGACGGATTCTCGTACACTTGTGGCACCGTCTCCTCATAAGCCGTCGTTAGTCGTATCGTGTTGCCGGTAAAGGACTTCAGGAACTCCTGAACTTCTTCGAGGCTTTCCAACGTTCGCAACTCCTTGCCTTCGACCTCAACGATCTCGTCGCCTAATCTCAACCTGCCGTCCCTGCGATCGAAATAATGATTCATCTTAGATAAAATTTATTATTTATAATAGATAGCTAAATAATCTGAAAAATATGCTGTTTATAAATTTCTCGCACATACCTGTGAGCAATGCCATCGCTTTCGAGTTGTACGACGATATATCGCAGATCACCTAGTCTTTGCTGCGCCAATCGAATCCCTAGACTCTCCTTAGGATCCCTCTTGTGCAACTGTATCAGGCAACATCGCCGTACCCGTGTCAACGGCTGAATAATATCGCTGAGAAATCTCGTTTTATCCTGCTGTAATCTCATGCGATGAGGCGAGACGTCCAGCGCCTTCGCCGTGTTCGACAAGAGACTCAATCTATCCTCGCAATTTGGAAACTGAGTGTCTTCCAACCGCGACACGGCTTCCTCCTCGAAGGACGTCCCGTGAATGCTAGGCAGCATCCTTCCGGAACCGCTCCGATGCCACCTGAGACCGTCGAGCCTCTCGATACTCATCCGAGAGATCGCGTCCGATCTGTTCTCCTCGCAATTTTGCCTGATTTTCCCAGCATCCTGATCGTGGCACTCGCTAGGCGTCGAGCTCCTTATCGGCTTTTCCGATTCCGAATCCATGACGCTGCTGGTATCTGAGCTACACTTGAGGCTCATTCCTTCATTCTCGCAAGCTACCACGAGCTCACCCCGCGGTCCATCGCTATCGTATCCGGATTCATTCGAACTGACGTAATGAGACGATAGTCTCTGCTCGCAGCTCGACACGGAATTCCGCCGGTTGTTTCTAATAGCGGCCATCACATCGAGGTCCACGTTGCAATTCTCCGAGGCAATCCCTAGCTCTATTTTACTAGTAAAGTCCACCTTGTCGCGTGCGGTGTCCTCGACGTGAAACTCAACATTTTCCCGAAGGGACAGTAAACTGCTATCGAACAGGCTGTAGCAAGTCGCGATACCCTCCTGCTGAAAGCCGGCCTCGATTCGTTCGAGGCGGCTCGCATTCAGGCTGTACCTGTCGGCTTCGTATCTGCTGGAATTCCTTTGGAATTCTGCGCAAGAAGTTCGACTCGGTCGCGAAGTGTTCTCCCGATTCTTCGCGTTGTCGCCTCGGCCAACGTATCCAACCCTAGATCTTTTCCGTCCAAGAGTAGTCGTACCGATGTACGAGTCCTCGATTTGTAGGGTCGGGAAATGCTCTTCCGAGACCGTCTTGAAGAGCCTCTCGTCCTTGGCGAACGACGAACCGTGACGTTCCTCCGGTAACACAGATAGCTTCGATCGCAAGAAAGCATACGGGAAGCTGGACTTTTTCGCCTCCTTCAAGTCGCAACTGCTGCTTTTCCTCATAAACGATTCATCCTTGGCTTGTCCGAGGTCGCAAGTACTGAAACTAACCGAGGAGCTGCCCAGCGAATACGCGGAGGCGCAAGAAGCTTCGAAGATACTCTGCTCGTCGCTCCGATGACCCGCCAGGTCATCGCAAGACACTGTCTTATCTTTTCTCGCAGCTATTTGCAGGTCTATACCCTCCGAGGGATCGTCGCCCTTCACGTAGGTCGGACTATTGTTCAATTGACTGGTACTGCAGCTCCGGAATAAACTCTCCTTATCCGGTAGATTCGCTCTCTCCTCGATATTCTGAGATCTCCTGTTGGCTTTGGTCGAGTTGAGCATTCCGGTAGAACCCATCCGAATGAAGAACGATTTGAACGGAGACGGAGATCGGTTACAAACTGACGGTGACTTTCTGTTTACCTTTTCGTTCAAATGCATCTGATTCAATTGTTGGATGTTAATATTATTGTTGCTGGTACAAGCATCGTTATTGTTGATGCTGTTATTGTTGACACTGCTGTGATCGCTACTATCAGATCTTTCCGTAATGGAACAGATGGTCTCGCGAGATCTAGTCCGCCGAAACGAGTCGATCTTCCTGCCCATCCTGCGACCCCAAACTCCTAGACCCGACACTATATAAAATGAAATAATATTAATGTAATCATTAATAATCTATTATATTAATAATATTTATATTAATAATCTATTATTGGGGGATACTTTTATTAATTAAAATATAATAAAACACGATCTGCAGTTTGGTCTTTGAACATTTTCGCATATTTTTAAACAGAGATATTTCAAACACTAACATGTTGAATTTCTCGGTTATTTGATAATTATTATAATAATAAAAATATAATAAAAATATTTGATAAGAAATAATAAAATATTTATCGTTGTTAATATTTAATAACATACATACTACAATTGTATATCACGTTTATTTGTCAATTAACAAAAATAAAATTATGCAATAATTATCTGATAATGAGGGGACGGGTTTGCTTTACGCGCACCGCTCTTCGATGAGGACGGGCGAAAAGGTGGAAGGGAGTAAGACATTGAAATGGTAGCGTGCCATCACACACGCAAAACCCACGTGGGACGAAAAACCACCCGCGTTCGACATACGGTCGTTCTCGGGATTCGTGGTCTCCATATACGAGCTCGCGTAACAGCGGTTCCGCGTAGTTTGGGACTACTTTTTCGAGGTGTCACCCCGGCTAACGGGCCCCGTATCGTCGACACATCGGTTCTACATAACGAGAAACGATTAAAAGGCTACTCTCGAGTATCGGACACATGTGTTTTGCGACCAAACGGTACAATGCGCGGACACACAAAAGGCGATATATATGTAACTTTCTTATGTGTGTTGTATATATCATCTTTTATATATCATTTTTCAAAAATATTACTAATTTAAATTATTATGAAAAGATTATTATAAAAAGTAATAAATATAAAACACACCTTTAGCAAATGTATGCGTATGATTATATAATACGTATAAGTAATGAATTTTATATTAATTTGAGTAATATTATAACAAATTTTTTTTCTAAATTTGTTCTTATGCAATTTTTTAAAACGCAATTTTCAAGTTCAATCTCTCCTAAAAAATAAATTGGGATAAAACAATCTGAATTAATAATACATTTTGACCATTATCTGTCAAAATTTAAATTGATAATTATCCGTCAAAATTTAAATTAATAATTTCAATGATTTTTTTCATTCGATTCTTTGTACTTTGGAGAAGAATTGAAGTGTCGAGTAAAACTTTCTATTGAAATATATGAACAGGAAGCAGGATTATCTTCGGTATTACTAAAGCAAGAGGTGAACGCAAATCGGTCGGCGTAGTTCGCGAGTATGTCGGAGCACGAAGCTCTAACGAGGCAAACGCGCCGAGCGAGTGATTAGTGAAAGGATGCGATGTTTTCCTGGATTAGCGGTAATTCGCGGCCGTTCGGAACAGAAGCGAGATCGGCGATGTCGGCAGCGAGGCGACGCGCGGTGCTTTTTTGTGCACCGCTGCATCCTCCTTCGAGCAAGAGGACATTGAAGTCACCGGAGCATGGAGTCCAGTTTTCAAAAAGTATTATACTCAGATCCGCTACACGATGATGTCGGCGTACCGTATTGTTCAAAAGTAGTAATTTGCAACCGCTTTGGACTTGTGAACGCTTTCGCACGCGATACACGCTAGCGTTCACCGAATTCAGAACGTGTAATTTATTTATTTTTAAAACATAACACGCGTAAGATGATTTTTTTTCTATCGCGAAATAGATGACGAAGCGAAGATTACGCACGAGTAGATATTAATCTCATTTCCTCTCGGAAAAAAATCTAGATTAATTCATTAAATCTAATCTTCATTAACTTTCGATTTGATTAGGTGAAAAAAGAGATAATGATTTGAGTGAAATCGAAGGAAACGGGATACATAATTAATGAAGCGATAAGACATCAAATTGATTTCACCGCCGAGATACATAAATAAACATCATCATCTGATGAGACTTACCTCGCTGTTTACCCGGATCGTGTTCGACGATGAAGGCCGGCACCGCTGTAACCGTCTGATAATCAGCCTCGATGACATCCTGCTGACTGTCCTGTTTCGCTTCGAGCAACGTCTGCATCGCGTCAGCATCGCCGCAGCTCCTTCGCGTATACTTGGACCTGGAGATTTTCAGCAAATTCGTAGCGTTCAGATCCTGATTGTTGTCACGCGGCATCGAAGTCCCCGACAGTTCGTCCAGCGGAACCGTGGGACTCGCCAAAGAGAGGGCAACATCATCGGCGCTGTGGCGTCTCGACTTTGACAAGCGTTTAAACATCTTATCTAGCTGAAAAGAAATTATTTAATTCAATTGCAAATATTTAATTTAAATTTAATTTAATTAGAAAAATTATATTGCAATAATTTTACACGAATTAAACATGTAATTATTTATTAAATTAAATATCGTAGATTTGATCTAAGGGAAGGACGCGAGTGTACATTAATTTCTTATAACGAATAAAAAAAAAAAAAATAAAAGATGCTGCGAATGTGTACGATGCGGTGGACGATTGAGTGTAAAACAAAGAATCACTTATGTTGCGCGTCGAAAAGAAATGCGAGAGAGACTCGTTACAAAGTATGTAATTGCCGATGCAACGCGACGATGTCTCTCCGCAAGTTTCCAAGTACGATTTACCGTTCGATGTCTGACGATCGGTATTCGGCAAACGTTTTTGCGGCCGCGAAAAGATACGGCGGATCTTTCATTTATCGCCGACTAATGGCATCCGTCGGGAGTCTCTCAGAAGAGAAACCGACCTACCGCCAATCAGGATAATTGTGATATCGGACAGAAATATGACACCGTAATATTATTCACTAATATAATATGATGTAGTTGTCAATTCCCTTCGTGATTTTACAGCGTCTATTAAATAAGCAGTTGCCAGTTTTAACGATCTTATAAGTAATATTTAGTTCATCATCGAGAATGTACTCGGGGGAATAGAGACGGAGAAAAACAGAGAGAGAGAGAGCGGAATTAACTTCTCTCGCGATCGGTCGAGAGAGAAAAGGCCGCCTGTTATTATTTATTTTTTTCCTCGTCAAGGTTCCCGGATTTCAGTCTCATGCTCTCGTGGTGACGTGATGATTTGCGCACACAGGTAAAAAGAAGGAGGCGGACGAAAACAGCCTTCTTGGAATGGACGTTATCGCGCATCTCGGCGCTTCTATTCTCTATCATCTCTCGCGTCGCCTTCACTTTTCAATTTTTCTCTCCTCGTCATATTATTAGTCTCGACCATCATTGTTACCATCGTAATTTAACGTCATAGATAAATAAATGCTGCGAAAGTGTCTCCACGCTCGATAGGCGTGAAATTTATGCATCCTTCATCATTTCTGTTTCTACTAAATCTAATACGTAACTATCCCGTACTGACACTTCATGCTCTATGTATCGAGTACTAAATCCAATAATTTATTCCTGTCTTCTTATTCTTGCGGGTTCCCGTTATTATCAGCCGCCTGAAATGTCCATAATATGTAAAATCGACAAGGAGAGGAGCGAAGATTGCGTCGAAGACTGCGGTCGCGAAAAATGCGCGGGCGAAATAAGCAACTTTACGATACACGCTGTGAGGCTGGAGAAAGTCTCGCGTGTGCAGAAACTGCATGCTCGCATGCATCTTAGCAGTCGAATATTGCGTTATTTCACGTAATGCCATAGCCACGTAGACACGACGATGCTGCATCAGCTTTCGGACAGCATCATCGGCGCGGAAGAGGAAAGATTGACCGACATTCCTGATTTCACCTCAGTTGACAGCCGGTACTTTCTATCGCTCCTATGCCAGAATCGTCGGGTGTCCTTGCAATAGATACACATACGTATGTCATAATTTGTATGACAAAGATAAATTGTTGATTAGAATCTGCATTTCCTATTCGATCTGAAACTGCGTGTCTTTTATTATTGGATTATACAGGGTGTTTCTTAATAAGTGCGAAAAATTTTAGGAGATGATTCTTTGTCAAAAATTAAGGGAGGTTTTTCATATAAACATATATTCCTACATCCCTTCCTGTGGAATTATAATCCTTCAAAAATGAGAGTAAAAATTAGGTTTTAACTTTTTTCTCAAATTTGGAACAAGTTCAAGAAATGAAATGAAGATGGATATTTTCTACTTGTAAAAAGGTTATTTATTATTTTTTTCAATTTCCCCGTTGTTATAAGGGGATGAAACTAGCAACCCCTATTCAATTTTTTATTAAAACTTTTAATGGGCCGGAATATGATCATCTAAAAATATGTATTAAAATGTTTGATTTATTTAGAAACTTTTCTATTTCTTTTATTTTTTCCATAAAATCAATAGTTTTCAAGAAAAAAAAATAAAATATGTTATCATGCACAACACGATGCTAAATAGCATAGGTTTCGAATTACGAAAAGTTAAATTTTAAAATAAAAATAAAATTAGAGTAAATGTTGGGAAAATTGGAACAAAAATAAAATTATATACTAATTATATACAAAATTATATATTATATAATAAAATTATTATAATAAAAACCTAATTTTTATCCCCATTTTTGGAGGAGTGTAACTCCAGAGGAAGAGATGTAGGAGTATATGTTTTTTATTATAGGATTTTATGTTGAATATATGTTTATACGAAAAATCCCCCTTAATTTTCGACAAAGAATCATCTCTTAAAATTTTTCGCACTTATTAAAAAACATCCTATATATCTTGTGTAATATTATTTCTTTCTTAATTTTATATATACATAATATCGTACATATATTAGAAAAGATTAGATTCTCCTTTCATCGACGTTGCGCTCTTCGTAAAACACACGGGACAAATTTGCATTTCATGAGCTGCACTTCCGCGACGAGCGTCGTGTCATGCAGATACATTAGGAGAACCCGGGGGTACTTCCGGTGTATACACGAGCGATTAAGTTCTCAATGCAGAGTCTCTACAGCGAAACAAAAAGAGACGTATGTGTGACGAGTGGACGACACCGGAGAATAGCATGCGTGATGCAACGTGTGTCATCTTCTCTGAGCATACACGTGCTATTTGCTCTGTTTGCATCTGTCTAAAATTTAAAACTTCCTGCGCCATAAACGACATTTCCTTAGGAATCTTGCCGAAGATAAATCGCTCAGAGCATAAATGTGCAGTATAAATAAATGTATAATTGATAATACGATGCTATTAATTTTACTCCTATTTTCTGCATCCGGCATAATAATTCGCGTCTGACAAATGATCATTCGCTTAGATGCATCAGGGAAAGGTATTATCGATGGCACGTTATTCGATTCGCTACTCTAGAGAGTTATACTTTTATACACCATGTACGGAGTTTGCGTTTTATTACTGGTTTATGTCCGTCGTTATGTAGGTACAACATACGCTACATCTATGTCTTGCATATGCTCCGTTATGACTTCTGCTTCCGCGACTTTTTATTCGTGACAGCGTCGAGTCAGAAACTATGATCGGGAAAATGTGTCGAGCGTGATAAATGACTGCGTCGTATAAAAATACTTCCTTCGTTTCTATTTTCAGCAGAAAACAACCTAGTTTGATTTTCTCTGGAACAATATTTGGATTCGCGCAAGCAACGTAAATTTAATCGCACGATCTAGTTTTCAAAAAAAAAAATCTAAGTAAATCTTTCAAATTAAAATTTTTTTTTCGAGAGCGCAATTAATTATAAATAATTATATATAAAATTATATAATATATTAATTATATAATATATTAATTATATAATATATTAATTATAAATAATTATATATAAAAAAGCATATATCTTGTAAAAGCAATATCTTGTATCCGTTAAAAAAAATGAAACTTATAGCGTGATTATGATCTAAACATAAATTATAATTTTGAAGTGGGCTTTTTCTGGAGCTCCTTGATGAAAGAAAATTGGCCGAGAAAATGTTTTATTCAAAGAAGATCGATCTTCGTCGATGGCCTGCGAGTACGTCAGGGCGCACACGTGCTGGTCACCAACAGACCGCTTCATTTACTCCTGCTGTATCACAGGTGTTGTATTACATTGTCCACGTACAAGCGAATAACGAGAGACCAACGGAAGGGTATCGGATGTTGCATGGCATAAGGGCGACGTTACGAGGGCTTATTCCTCGATAAATATCGACTGTCTTGGCTCCAATACTCCCTTGCATTCGACTGGCGGGATAGCTTCAATAAGTATGTAAATTTTTACCCTTTTTCTTTTCTCATATCTTTTGATATAAAATCTCAAAGATAAGAAAGTCAAAATCTTTTTTTTTTTCAATTAATTTTGATTAAACTTTAAATCAAGGAAAATATAATTTAATTTTTCAATAAAATTATATATAAAAATAATTTTATTTTAATAAATATATATGTAGATTTTTACACTTTTTCTTTATCACGTCTCATATCTTTTGATATAAAATCTCAAGGATAACAAAGTCAAAATCTTTTTTGTTCAATTAATTTTGACTAAACTTTAAATCAAGGAAAATATATTGTAATTTAATTTTTCCTAATAAAATTGTATATAAAAATAATTTTAAATCGTGTGGAAATATGATGAGGAAATAAAAGTAATAACAGAGTGTTTCCTAATTTCATTTGAAAATTCTACAATTCGTAAGATGTTTAATGTCGAGAATTAAAAGCGATGAATGAGGAAGATTCGGTACTTTCGTTGAACTCCGGTTGGGGAGACACTATGTAAATGTCGGAGCATCTCGTAGGGACATATAAAACGAGTTTATTACGTTATCTGATCCAACTCATAGTACGCGCAGACAAAGATATATAATTCGCGTTAAAGATCAAAATGCTAATAATACACCCGTTACGCTTTCCACGGTCATCCTTGCTTTTATATCTCCATAAAACGTCGGAGGTAGCGTTTTGCCAAGAGATTCCGCGTAACAGTGCGGTCCGTGTCGTAATGTCCGCTACGGTACGCTTCGTGCACGATGTAATTTTCGAAACGATTAAAGCCTTGTTATCCTGACTCGCGTCCAAAGAACGCGCGCTCCGGCTGCGTGCGGTTCTAAATAGACACGCGGAAAAATGTCAGCGTGGTATCGAGCGTCTCGCGCGATCGAGCTCGACGCTTTGTACCGTAATGTCAGGAATTTTCTACCGGATTTTCGACGGAAATCGAACAGAGAGACGTGAGTTCCGCGTTTCGTTTTGGCTATTTAAATGCTGATAATTGGGTTTACTGCCTTGTCTTTACACTCTCCGGCGCAGAATGACTAACGCGTACTTCCTGTTTAGACCGTCTCCCACTCATCTTTCAT